ATTAACTTGAGCAAGGTGTTACTAACTACAGTTTAACTATTATTTCCCCAAAGAAATGCTTTTCTAATTATTTTGTTGCTTGATAAATTTTGACTACCTGTGTTTAAATGACAAATTAACTGTATTTCCTCACTTCCCGGTACCTGTGTAAAATGTGCCCTAAGCACGTATTTCTTTTGAAATGTTTGTCACACACAAGCGTTTTGCCGTCCTTTTCTTTCTACCGCACTAAGAATCACCTGACCGGAACAGGGAAGTTGTTTAGGCTTATCAGTAACAACACGAACTCAAAACTGATTCTACAAAGTTCGATTAACAACGACGCGTTCATACATAATCCGCTCAGCATGAAAGATAAGCTCTAAAATTAACTGGTATTTATTCACGTCTGCGGTGCCAAGACTTCGCAGCGGGGACATGTTACAGACGTTTGTAAAGTGAGAGGGGGCGAGTTCAACTAGTTCAAGCCCCCAACTGCACGCAAACGAGAATAAAATTTCGCGATTTTCTGGAGCAAATCTTCACTTGCTCTGAACTTATCACCTTTAAACTTTGGTAAGTTTCCTAATTTTAAGCCGCTCTTTCCAGCAGGATCATTGGATCCGATTCGCTAATTTGTCTTAAGCAAAACTTAAAAAAATCCGGAAAGGGTCTATCACCTGATCGGAACAGGGAAGTTGTTTAGGCTTATCAGTATCAACATGAATTTAATACTGATTCTACAAAGTTCAATTAACGTCGCGTCATACATCATCAGCTCAGCATCATGGAAGATAAGCTCTATAATTTACTGGTTTTTATTGACGTTTGCAATGCCAAGACTTCGCAGGGGGGGCATGAAATTTTTAAAGTTCTTAATCCGAGGTAGCATTTGCAATATTGAGCAGTAGATATTATAGTAGCTGCTTAACTGAATGCGGAGCACAGTGCTGTAAAGAGGTCAGCAAACATGAACTCAACAACAGGGAATGGTTCAATCGAGTCTCTAAGCTGCTTTAGTAGAAAAGCGTACAATATTGGACTGACCATTGCTTTGAGTCTGATCCTTGCTGTTTCGCTGATGGCAAATTGTTTCATTGTATTGATCGTTTATAAAACGCCGGCCTTAAGAAAACCGATAAATTATTTCATCGCATGCATGGCCATATCTGATCTGCTGTATTCAATATTCTGGATCCCCGTATACCTGTTATGGTTGCGCCCTTCGTGGCCTATCGATGGTCAGTTTGGCCAGGCCTTGTGTAAGCTTCCCCCTTTCTTTGGAGACGTTTCCTTTGTCGTTTCGATTCAGAATCTGGTTCTGATAGCGGTGGATCGATTTGGAGCCGTGGTATTTCCACTCCGTTCCCCACTCATCAGATCCAAGCTGTGTCCCTTCTTCATTTTCGCGATGTGGATAGTCGCAGGGGCTGTCTCTTGGTCACATTTGTTCACTTTCGAACTCGTTGAATACTCAGGGAAAATTCGGTGCCTGAAGAGATGGAAGAAAGCATTCGGAGAGTCCTCGTCCGTTACCGACTTTCTATTACCATACTGTATTCTGCTTATATTAATACCTGTGATGTTATTAGTCATTCTTTACTCCATCATCCTCATCAAGCTCAAGACACAGGCACACCCAGGTGAACAGTCTGCGAACACTCAGCAACATAGGAAAAGACAAAACAGAAACGTGCTTCAAATGTCCATTGCTATCGTATTAGTGTTTGTTTCTTGCTGGTTGCCCTTTTATACCAACTTGTTTGTGTTAGAGTATCGTTTAGTGCAGTTTTCTTGTGCCTTTATGTTATACTTTGATGTCGCCATTCTTATGACTGTCGGGTACTGTGCTATCAACCCGATTACCTGTTTTATATTCAGTACTAATTACCGACAAGGTCTTAAAAGACTCATGAATTGTTCTTAACTGTTGTTCAGGCGTAAGTCACAAAAACCTGCTCGTGAATATATATGTTAAGGGTCAGTGAGGTTCGTGTAACGCTAGCAGATGAAAAACTATCCTGTTAGTTATACTGTAGGGAGGTTGGCAAAATGTGTTCATTGTATATATGTATATGTCTTTCCTGACTTCGAGAAGTGACTGCAAGTGTAGCCCAAGCGTAATTAATGTTTGTGAGGCAAAGGACTAAGAATGAATAAATAAATAAATGATTAATTACACTTATCTGATGTTGATTTCTCTTCCTATTTATTAGTTTCAGAGCAATTTGAGCGGCGTTGCCATCATCTGACCGCAAATTAATGCAGCTGTATGTGGCAATATATACAGAGAAAGATAGCAAGCATGCTCAAAAGACCTGGCACATATACACTTTCCTTGCCAAAATCACAAGAAAACTCGAGATGAGACTTCTGCAATCCATTTCAATCAACTGTGCGTTTAAATGAATTTAAAAAGATTGAATATTCTGAGATCCTCAAAAACAGCTCATTCCCTCTTACAAAAACTTCTGTTTTTTAGCCCTCATTTCTCGTAACTTTAAGATCTCTTGTTAGACGTTAGGACGTGTTTTCTTTTCTTTTTCCTCCTTTTCTTTTAACACTCAGCCAGGGACGAGTTTCTTAAGAATTGAATTTTACCTTCTTTATTAAAAATGAAGGCAGAACTCCCGGCTAAACAAATGGATTTAGCTAAAAGGAGCTGGTGAAAGAAGGCCAAGGAACAGTTCTGGGAAAATGTATTATATCAAAAGAATGTTTTGGTTGCGAATTCATTAAGGGCTAGAAAAGCTAAGTAAGTGATGCGAGACACTGTACAATACACACACACGAATCTTTCCAGCTCTCAGATAGTCAAAAAAAATAAAAGCCAACAAAATATATAAAAAGGACGAATAAACGGGCGACACGAAGACAGTGAAAGGGTGGGGAAAGTGCTAGAAACATACTAACCATTCTCGTTGGTATGGCGGACTGCAGTACGTATTAATTACTATATAGACACAAGAACACCAAATGAGAACCATATGAAGCATGTGAGGGATGATTATTAAAAATGGTGACAGACTAACAGGACTCCTGTAAACTTAGTACGTAATTCCTTATATGACTAATTTCCGTTTTGTATCGGAGTGTACTATGACTAAAAATCTAACGTAACCAAGGTTTGAGGCAATGAAATCTGTCGCAAACTTTTTCTCTGTTTCAGCGTTAAACTGAAAGGCTTTCTAGCATGCCCTGAGTTGCCTTTGTCGTAATTTTTCAGTAGTATAACAAACCCTTTTTTTTTTTTCAGTTACGGAAGACACCAATTTGAATGTGCATCAAGCATGATAAAAGAAGAGCCGCCAATTTCAAGAGTGCACAAGGAACAGGGAAAATTGTCCTTCTTCTAAGCTCTAGGTTACAATATTTGGAATCAAACGTTCATTTATTTTCAGCCAAAGTTTTTAAACGAAAATTGGGGGCTCAACCTTTACTTAAAGGGCGAGTCACTTCTTTGTTTTCATGGTAACAAACTGTTAAACAAGCCGAACAGCCAAAGAAAGGCATAGATCGAGAGCGTCTGCGAAAAAAAAAAATTATTGAAAATTAAACAAAAAAAAAACAAGAAAAAATTGTACGTTTTTTTTGGCACATGCGACTTTCATCTATCGTTCGTTCCAAAATTAAAAGTTATCAATAATTAAGGGAAAGGTGTTGTTAACCGTGTACACCAAAACAGTTCAACTACCGTAAAATTCCGAAAATAAGCCCCTCCATGTATAAGCCCCTCCAAATATAAGCCCCCCAAAATCGTAACGCAAAAAACCCTCCGTTAAATCGCCCCTCCGAATATAAACCCCCCGGGGGGCTTGTACGTAGAATTTGCCCTCGAATACAAAGTAAAACAAGAATCGCCAAAAGGCGATTTTTAACTGGGCTGCCAAGGGGCTATTTTTTCTGAGGGGAGGGGGCGGCTATACACACTCAGGCTACCATAAAACCTTGTCGGCAACCATTGCATGCGACAGAACCTCATGTGAGACTGAAACATAAACTCATTCAAAACATTGTACCCTTTTGAAAGACTTTCGTAACCCAATAAGGGAGCATTCATTTTTTAGAAGGGGGGGGCCGGAGGAATCCCTATTAGCATGAATGTAAAATCTCCCAGCCCTCCCTTTATATTTTTTGTTAAAAAATGTGACCCTCCCCTGGAAGCATGCAGTAAAATTTATAGTGACCCACCCCTTCCTCCTGACAAACATGGTTTGTGGCTGGATTGTGCAACGATCCCGTGGTCCTTCACACAGACGCACCTGTTAGCTAGAATAACGCAACCGCCAATTGCCTACTTTTCTGCCATAACGGTTTACCCTGGCCCCTTCAGGCAACTCATCTTCCTCTTCACTTTCGCTGTCCTTTGAATCATTTTCGTCTGAGTTGCTTGCATCCCCAAATTCCAGTAGTAGTTCATCTTCACTTTCTGAGTCCTCGCTGACACTGACATCATCATCTTCTAACTGGGTGTCCGAGTCTTCCGTTGCTAGAGCAGTTTCAGCAGCACTCAATGTCAAGATCCTTTCACATAAGCCTTTGCTGATGTGAGCTGACAGAAGGTTAAGTTTTTCTGATTTGGACATTTTTCTCCTTGATAAGTTGTGGTGAAAAATATATTTATTGAGCTTAGCAACCTTCAGCTTTTTTAGGTTTCCCGATTTGTAGAGTTCCTCCCAGTTATAGTCACCGTAACCTTTTGTTTCTTCATCTTTCTTTGCCTGGCGCTTTTCGACTTGGCGCATATTTTTTCTCACTTCAATATTCGTAAGGTGCTTAAGATATTCTTTCACCAGATCAGGGCTGACAATGTATTTTTTAGAAAATGCTTCAATTTTGTCATTATCGCCACATTTAATGTTCCCTTCGACGAAAAGCTTGCGTAACTGCGCACGGGGTTGGAAATCATCTGGTGCTCTGTTATGAACAGGGATATTACCTACTGACAGGTAGTGATAGGAAGGGAGTTGTGTGACATCTGGGTAAGGACGTGGTGTGCGCTTCAGTGAGTCGGGACCTATCTACCCATTTTCCTTACATGTCTCACACAGTTTTCCCTTTCTTGAACAATCTCCTTTTAGAAATTCAAAATAGAGCTCTCCCCTTTCGTAATGTGACTCAAAAAAGGATTCAACTCTATTAAAATAGGCATGTCCAGGTATTACATGTCGCTTTGACTTTGAAGTGTTGTTATACTTAGATAGATATTCCTTATTGTAAAAAAATTCTTCACCAGGCTTTTCTGAAACAATTGCACCAAGAAAACCGTTTGGTGCAGGCTCACCATCTATCCTCAATCGCACTTCTTCTGCAACTCGCCATGCATTTTTCTTCATTCGGTCATTCTCTAAATCTTCTAGCTCTTTTGCTGACATTCTCTTTAAATCTTCTTCCTCAAGGCCATGGTGTTGTTCATAGTACTCCCATTTTAGGCTTCCTCCATCGACCAATGCATCACCTATGCAGGCATTGCTTCGTTCTGCTTCATTCTGACCGGAATCATTAGTTGCACGGTGGAGTCTAGCACGTCGGTCAGAATTGTGAAGCAGGGCAATCTCAGCATCTCTGAACCTGACTTCAAAATTGCTCACCCCTACACCTGGACCTCCGTCTGTGAGCTCCAAAATGCAGGGTTTAACTGGTGCTAAGTTAAATTCTGTTATCTTCTTCAATATGATATTGTCATTTATCAATCCTTCAAAGACTTGCCACAACCTTTCTACAGAATTTGCTTCTAGTTGAGTAATAGCATTTTCGAGAGACTCTGTAAATGTTGACATGCAGCCAATGAGCTCATTGGCCTTGGCGATTTCTGCTCGGTCTACATCATTTTTCATCTCTGTTTCTCATATGTCTCTTGCTTTTGATAAAGCTTTTGATAAATGCTCAATTCGTTTCTTCGCATACTGCTTGAAAGGGCAGTTTACCTTATCTGTTACACAGCTGACATCCTCTTCCATCGTTGTCTGAATGAAATAAGAAACATTGTCTTTTACTTTGGCACACAGACTACAGAAATAAAGTGAGTATTTCTCAAAAATATCCAAGCCAACCTCATATAACTGTGGGTTTTCATGTCTTAACCTCATATAATCAGAAGCCCAGGTGGTACCATCACTAGGAACATAAAACTTGGGGCGAACGACTACAAAAGTCTGATAAGTCTTAGTAAACAGCTGTTCCTCATCTCTGACAATTTCTCCCTCCTTCTCAAGGAAACGATGTGTAGCAGGAGTGATATACACTTTAGGATTAGCAAAATCATGCTGCGGGAGTTTTCTAGCTCTTTCTTCGTCTGTTGGCTGAAAGATTACTTGATTTCTTGAACCAGTCATTCCCACATCCGTTCCTGGCCTAATGTAGGCTTTGTCGTCTTTACTGATTATTAAGTTAAACTGCCATGAGTCTTTGTTTTGCATGCCAAACATTGAATACTTTTCGTTTTTCACATGACTTCTTTGATGATGTGTGCAAAGGTTAGATTTATCTTCTGTTTTGGGGGGCTTTTTTGCACAAAACAGACCCTTGCCAATGTGTTTTTTGGACTGAAGGCTTCTGCTATTTTTGGGTCTTGACCTACTATATATTGTAGTATTGCTGCGAATTAGCTTCTTTCCAAGCCTCGCTCTAAAGTAATTAACTGTGCCTCTGAAATCCTTTGCTTTTACTCTATGATTCAGATAAAGCACACTGTCGTGGCGCCTGCCATGTGATGTAGCCTTGTCCTCAATGCATTTTACCACAAATTCTTCATCATCACTATCCACTTTTCTGTGAGCTCCTTGACCCAGTTTTCGACGTTTTATTCGCGTTTCTTCCAGCAGATTATCAGCAATTCGCTTTACCCCCTGTCTGAATTGCTGGTTGCCATACTTTGTCTCTCTACTTTTTACTGCGTCTACCTGTTTCAAGCGTTCTTCGGTAAGAGTTAGCTTTTCTTGGAGGTCATCTAACCTCTTCTTGGGCCAGCTTCCCGTGTTCTTGGTAATCAATTCCTTGATGCTATCTATATCTTTGGTCAATTTACCCTTACGTTCGCGCAAGCGTAGGTTCAGCATGTCAGTTGCAGCAAGTTTGGCATTTTCATATTCATCAATGACATAATTTACATGTTCTACTGCTTTAACAGCAGTATCTGGCTTCATTCCAAGTTCACAAAGGTCGGTACGTGATCTATTAGCACTGAGAAGTGCTCTCGCACACTCACGGTCATATTCTGTGTCCATTGATTGTAATACCTTGTTGATAGACTCTTTACACAAATCAAAGCGCTTGCTAGAATCATCTTGTTCAGCAGAAACATGTGAATTTTCTACATAATGCAGAAACTGTGCAATATCTAAGCCATTTCCAGATAAGAGAACAAGCCTTTGTCCATCAGAAGGGTTAGTGAAAATAAGAACAGGTAAACCATGTTCATCATTTAACAATTCGTCTCGAAAATGTTCCTTGTCTGGAAGCCCTTCTTGATAGCCAGAGTATAATTCGTATGCATGCTCGAAAGTCATGAAACCTCTTTGCGATGGTAGCAGTAAGGTCTCCAATACGCATATCAGTCCTATCAGCTTCGAACGCTTTTTATCATATTTTAAATCGCATGCTTCTACGAGAGCCACCAATCGAGCTTGGCAGTTTTCCACAGAACATACTTGTTTCGAAATGCGTAAACCCGAAAGGCCACCTGATGTTTCACTCCGTAAAAAAGATCTTTTTTCATTCCATGTTTGCTTCGTTGTTACTATTTCTAATACATCACCATTCTTCTTCTCAAAACTGCACTGCGAAATTTCAGAAGGTTCTGCAGTGTCCATGGCCGCCATTCTGAGACTCGTCACTTGGCCGAGAGGTACTTGGTTCCAGTATGTAACCAAGCCTTGCAAAACAAAATGGCGGAGGATTCCTTACAGCGAGTTCGTGATTGGTTTTCACAAAGTAAGCTCGGAGAGTATGCAGATCTCTTTATTTCCAATGGGTTTGATTCGCTGGAACTGATTTTTGAATGTGTGGATAAACAGCTCCTAGAGGAACAATTCGCTGAAGGAATATGTTTACCAGGCAAACGGCAGCAGCTGCTCTTAGCAATTCGACAGCAAAAAGAAAGTAAACCACCTCGCCAAACAGAGATGAGCATGTACGACTGGTTTCAAGAAAATGACATTTCAAGTTATTTTAATGCATTTATCAACAAGGGTTATGATGATCTAGAAGTAGTTATTGAAACAATCACTGAAGATGTGCTTTCAGTAGAATTTTCAACAGAGATTCCCCTACTTGGGCAGAGGAAGAAAGTTGCATTAGCAGTTCGAAAGGCAAAGGAAAAGCAGGGGAAAAGTAATAACACTGCAGTCGGGGATAAACCCAAAGCTAGCCAAAGTTTTTTATCTTGGACCGACAAAGCCCTTGGAGAACCATGGAAAAAGAAATCACTGGGCTATATTCCCTCTCCAAAAGGTGAAAGATCAATAGCATATATGGAACTTCTACCCAAGTTTTATAAGGCCGTCTGGCCTTAGTGCAATTCAGATAGTTATTTCAGAAACCAGTTCATGACAGAGAAAAGCCGACAATACGAAACCAACATAAAGGTGGGGACACTGCAACAGAAACTGGATTTCAAAAAAGGAGACAATCCAGCTGCATGTGGAAAGTATTTTACCACTTCATATATTCCAAGAGCCAGTGATGTAGCTGTTTTGTCTAAACATTTGGATCAGCTCACCAGCTTGAAAACTGAAGTAAAGAAGCTCAAAAACGAAGTGGTAGCCATGGATCAAGGCCTTTTTGATAAGAGTGGTAGGTGCCTTTCTCCTGGGAAATCTATTCATCATGACTTTAATTCTGCTACAGTGAACAAGCTTAATGAGCTAGGTCAAAACGCTTCAGCATTTATGGCTCAGGTTGATGAAAGGCTAAAGGAGTTACAGAGCACATTCAAGGGCTTGGTCTTCAAGCCATCTACCTCCAAAGCTCGAAAGAGGAAGCAAAACAAAAGGAAAGCTATCAAAAGAAAGATAGCCAGGATGGAGAATGCAAAAACAAGAGTTCTGCAAAAGGTTTTACCAAGGGTCAACCATGACAACGTTGATGTAACTATTGAGGTGGAAGACATTTTCATTGCAGCATTAGTAAGTTTATCAAGAAGGGAGGCAAAGGTTTTGCATGAGACACTCCAGTCAGACAACCGATTCTCTGAAGCTGCTAAGGCCTACATCTCTGATTCCTTACCACCATCCTTGGCCTTATCTGATAGTGAGAGCCTAAGTGACTCTCACTCTGATCAGTGACAGACATGGAACTGTGACATTATTTTAACAACCAGTCTGTGTTAACCAAACTTCTCTTTAACAGTTTCTTTCAGATATTAAAAATTGTTGTTGTTGTTGTTGTTGTTGTCATCTAATAATCAATTCAGTTGGTGCGAATGGGGCTTTTATACATTTCAATGGCACAAAGTTCATTTGAGTCTCAAATTAGCTTTGTAACGTTAAGGGTTCAAAGATCAGTTTGCATAAACTTGTATAATATTAAAAAAAAATTAAGTGACCCCCCCCTCTTTGTTGTGTCAAATTTATGTTGACCCTCCCTTTTTGGGCAGGCAAAAAGTTAATGACCCTCCCCCGAATTCCTCCGGCCCACCCCCCCTCTAAAAAATGAATGCTCCCTAAAAAGAGTACCATTTTTAAGTTGGGGCTTTTTTTAACTTTTAAATTCCACCACTATGAATAAAAATAGACAAGTTAGCCATTATTTCTAAGCAGGAAACAATTTGCATTATTTCCACGTACCCCTCCCCTAATCCCTCTGTGCCCGAAAATATAGCGTGACAGTATAACGTGACGTAACTGGAAATTCCAAAAATTGTTGTCGTTCTATGAGTATAATGAGCTGATTTACACTAGACAGAAATATTGTATTATATGAAAACCAGAAGTAAACTAAAACAGACAGTTAACTGCCCATCGATCCCGCCTGATCCAGGGGCCTCGCTGACTGCACGGAGACTTTTATACTGCGCTTTTCACAACCATGCGAACTCTAAAGTTCAAAAGCCACCTTCACAATTGTGTTTATCGCTGCCGTCAATCATAATTACGATCAAAAGCAACGAACCTTGAAACAGAGAAACACACAAAACGGATCGAAATCCACAAATCACAAACCATGACCTTTTGAACCCGTGAAGTAGAGTTTTGTTTCCTAAGAGGTCCGTTAAGATGATTGACAGCAGCGAAAAACGCAATCGTCGGTTGGCTTCTGAACTTCGGAATTCGCATGTTTGTGAAAAGTGCGATCCTAATTTGCGGTCCACAGTCTACAAGAAAACGCACTATTTTTTTCACAAGAAGAAAAATATTCAGTTTTAAGATTTTCCTCATGGTATTTTTCTCTAACTTAAAGGAATAAAATCCTTTGCATTTTGAGACCTAAAAAAGTTTAAAGACTTCTCGCTCGCATGTTGCGTTCACCAGCACGCACTTCAAACAATGTAAATAGATGAAACGATCGATAACATATTTTTTACCTGATACCGATGCGAGTTAAAAATTCGCTCCAGTTCTGTTTGTCTCACCCAAGACGAACTTTTCTTCATGGAAGATAACTATGCCGCTTTATAACTCGTCCGAAGTTTTTGTGCCAGCTAAACAATATGGAAACACTATTCACAGTGACTCCTTGGATATTAAAAAGACTGAACGTGACGCACTATTATACCTTTGTTTACTTCTCATCACATCTTCAAGCGAAGTCTCTCTTTTCAAGCGATTCATCTCAATGCACAATAATTGATCCTTATATTAGTTAAAACCCTATGGTTCATTTATATTAATGCTGTTTTTGCCCCTCACATTGACTGTGTTCGTTCGTATTCAAAACACCTTTACGAAAATAAAGGTCGTATAAGTCATGTGTGTTATGTTTCGAGACAAATGGATTATAGGCTTTTTTAAGTTTCCATTTTGCGGTGACTTCAGTTAACACCTTCATAAAATGGTAAAAGAAATATCAAGAAACATCACGAGAGCTAAAAAACTTTCAAAGGCATGTTTCTGAAACTCGCTAATGCTGACATCAATATAGCGTGCTTGCTGAATGGGCGAAAACACAGAACTGTGATCACAAAGTCATGTACAAATTTAATGATAAAAGCTTAGCAAGATACAAATAAAAACAAAAGCAAACCCCCTGAAACCTCGACGTGGGCTACACTTGTATGCTCTACTCAGTCACCAAACCTTGTCAGTAATAGCTCCTATTTTCCTCAAGTCGCTCTCTGTGAAGCTCCCGGATGGGATGTTCCGGTGAAGCTTTAAACTTGTGCATTGTGCGCGAAATTCTCAGAGTCCCTATTTTTGTCCGTGTCTTCTTTATCCTCAGTATCCGAAATTTAGACCTCCAAAGTGGCGTGTGTTGCATTAAATAGAAGGAAATATTTAAAGGAAAAGCCAGTCTTCTAACATGGCAAAGTTGTCACGTCCCTCGCTCATAGACGTGCGTAGTGCCATTCATCGGCAACTGAGTTGTTCGCTTCACTGACTACGAAGGCTTACAATCAAGTCTTCAGCCATAGTGTCGTCAACTGGTGAAATACCTTGCTCATAAATTGTGCTTCTTAATTGCTCATGTACTACATCGATCGATAATTCTCTCTTTGAGTTCACGAAGCGGCCACGGCGTTCCAAACCTGACGCTCACAGTCATCTTTTAGTGTGAACCTACCGTGAACAGCGTGTCGGTTTGAATGCAACGCGAGCATTTCTCTGAGTTTCCCAGCGCCAACATCATCTAACTGACTTAAACTCGAACAATAAAAAAATTATAGAGTGACTCCCATGATCGAATCGCTTCGAACAACGCAAATAGCCTTCTTCAGGTTCGCAACGCTTTGTGGGTTTTTCAGGGGGAGCGCAGACGAGGTACAAAAAGTATCCGTGCAAGGGCTCGTGCAAGCGAAACTCATATGAAACCATTTGTGAGAACATCGTTTCTCGGTACCAGACCCTCGTGTCTTCCCTCCCCCGGGAGACCACTTTTTGACACCGACGACGGAAAGCCCATTTTTTGACTGGGCGCACAGGCAGCCCAGTAACAAAGCAAAAATGGTAAATTTCCTTGCCACTACAAGCTAGCCCAATCGATTTTATAACCCAAATTTCCCTCCGTACATAACCCCTCCGAATATAGGCCCCTCCAAAAATAAGCCCCTCAAAAAGGGCCTTTGAAAAATATAAGCCCCGAGGCTTATTTTCGGAATTTTACGGTATATTATCCCTTTGAAATGATGTTAAATAACAAATTGAATACTATTTCCTCACTTCCCGGCACCTGTGTAAAATGTGTTCTATTAAAAGACGTATTGTTATTCAAATGTCTTTCAATCGATTCAATTGGTACAACGACACCTGACTAAAATGACTTTTTCACTCATATTGTGTGTTTCCTCTTTATTTTGGTCAAAGTTGGTAATGATATTCTATTGAATATGAACTCGCAGCGTGTTACACTACTT